GTGAAGAGCGACAAGAAGAGGTATGTGTTGAAATGCAAGAGTGACAAATGCTCTTGGATGATGATGGCATCCATCGTAAAAAACACATCTCGATTCGCTATTAAAAAATACAACGGGAGACATATTTGTACAGTTGGTGACCGTAGCCGAACACACAGCCAAACAACTTCGAGATATGTCTCAGATTTAATTTTAGAGAGTTTTGATGGGACGGATGATTTAATTAGGCCCAAAAATATCATGACTTTCATGAAAAACAAGAGCATGCCGATCACATATGCAAAGGCTTGGTGGAGTAGGAAGTTCGCAAATGAAGCCATGTTTGGGATGCCTGAGACTAGTTACGAAAAGCTTCCATTATACTTGCACATGTTGATAAAAGCAAATAATGATCTTGTAACAACCCACCTAGAACTTGATGAGGGGGGTCCTTTCAAGTATGTATTCATAGCATTTCATGCATGTATTTCTGGATTTCAAGCATTGAGGCATGTCATCGCCGTTGACGGAACATTTCTTAAGACATCCTATAAGGGTGTTTTACTCATTGCAACGGCTCAAGATGGTGACTTTCATCAATATCCCCTTGCCTAGGCTATTGTGGACTCTGAAAACAACGACTCATACTCTTGGTTTTTTGGCCATTTAATGAAGTTAATTCCTGATTCTAGAGACTTGGTGTTCATTTCGGACAGACACATTAGCATTCGAAATGGGATAAGAAAGCACTATTCGGCTGCGGATCATGGATTGTGTAGGTATCACATCACTTGTAATTTGAGGAAGCGTTATCCAAAGATGTGCAAAAAGGGGTTGGATACACTTTTTGAGAACCTTGCAAATGCATACACCAAACGGTCATTCAAGAGGTTGTATGGCGACTTGAAAGCAAGGTACCCAGCTTACATTCACAATATCCCAAAGAAAAGATGGGCCAGGGCGTATTTTGAAATAAACCGGTACTAAATAATGACGACAAATGGCGCCGAATCAATCAATAGCGTGTTGAGGGAGGACAGGGAACTTCCTATTGTTGCACTTTTAAAAGCAGTCCAGAACATGACATCAAGATGGCGTGGAAAAAGGCAACAAGAGTTAAGGTCTCTCGATGCATCAAATCCCCCTGTTACCCCGGCTGTTGAAGCTGAAATGCGCAAGAGATTCAACACTGCCTTGCGCTTGGAATGCCATCACTTGAATCAATACGAGTTTGAAGTCAAGGGAGTGCACTCTGACCATGTTGTTAACCTTTCAAATAAAACTTGCACCTGCCAAGTGTTTGACAAGGATAAGATACCTTGCGTGCATGCACTCGCTTGTTCAGAACGCACAGACGTAGATTGTTATAGCCTGTGTAGTAAATTATACACAAAGGAATACATGTATATCGCATACGCGGAAACAATCTACCCCGTGCCACATGAAGATGACTGGGATGCCGATGGAATGGAGCTCTTAGAAGTCAAACCCCCTATATTGAACAAGCAAAGAGGAAGGCCAACAATGAAGATATTTCCATCGGACGGCGAGGCACGAAAAAAATATAAATTGACATGTTCTGGTTGCCAAGGAAAAGGGCATACAGTACGGACATGCGCAAAGAGACCTCGTAAAGACACATCTACGACAAATGACTTGAATAATACTGATTGCATGTAATTGTATTCGAAGAGAGGTCTAAAGGTTTCGAATTAAAATAAATTATATTATTTCAATTAAAAATAATTCTATTGCAGTAGAATTTATCAATTAATACATGAATGAAGATATGTGTGAACGGTTGGCATTCAATTCTGTATATAAAGATATGCGTGGACAGTTGGCATTCATCATAAATAATAATAATAATAATAATAATAATAATAATAATAATAATAATAAATCAATCATTTCGACTACATTTGGAATGTATTCAACTGCATGTTATGCACATAGGAGGGTTTGATTAATAATAATAATAATAATAATAATAATTAATACATGAATGAAGATATGTGTGAACGGTTGGCATTCAATTCTGTATATAAAGATATGCGTGGACGGTTGGCATTCATCATCATTAATAATAATAATAATAATAATAATAATAATAATAATAATAATAATAATAATATTAATAATATTAATAATATTAATAATAATATTAATAATAATAATAAATCGATCATTTCGACTACATTTGGAACGTATCCGACTGCATGTTATGCACATAGAAGGGTTTGATTAATAATAATAATAATAATAATAATAATAATAATAATAATAATAATAATAATAATAATAATAATAATAAGGTTTGAAAGCATTTAAGAGGTACACGAGTAGTTGGGGAAATTCAAATATGGTTTGAAAGCATTTAAGAGGTATATGGTTTGAATACATTTAGGACGGTACATGAGTTGTTGGGGAAATTCAAATATGGTTTGAAAGCATTTAATAGGTTTTGAATGCATTTAGGACGTTTAATGAGTAGTTGGGGAAATACTATGCATTTAGGACGTTTTATATATATATTAGTGCTATATATACTAGTGCAATTGCTTATCTTTATTCACAAAAACCCCTCTTAAAATGCCAAAAACTTTCGTCATATATCTGGGGGAAGAGGATAATGACAGCCATGACCCGAACTATGAACTGGTAAGTTATCATACTTAGTGCAATTAATTATTTTTTAATTCTTTATCACTAAAGAGAATTCCAATACAACCAGCGTATCCTGTATTCCGCTGCGAGGTATTTGTGCGACCTGGACGAATTGCTAGTATACTCTAGCCCGCAAAAAAAGAAGTTCATTGTTCAACTAGAATGCCGGCAGGAGGGAAGGTTTATGGTGAAAAGTGGTTGGCATGAATTAGCAGATTTTTATCAACTATTGCTCGAGTTGATCCTGCATTTCAAATATTATTGGGAAAACGTATTTTTTCTTACTGCGTATTGGGATGCTGTGGAGTGTTTTGGTTTGTAGTCTTTGGAGTACCGGATAGGAACTCATTGAATGAGTTTGCCCTTATCAGTGACTTGATGTGCTCGGGAGTTGAATACGTAGTTCGAAGCATAATATGACGCGAATGCTCGGAAAGAAATTTCTTGAAGATCACTTCCCCTTGGGATTCTGTTGACTTAAAGTCTATTGGAGTACCAAAGGGAAGTGATCTTCAAGAAATTTTTTCCGAGCATTCGCTTCCTACAATGCAAATGCTTTTTCTGCAAAACTCGTTAAGTGCCAATAAGATAAAACTAAAAAATTCATAGTAAGTGCCAATAACATATCAAAAAAAGTCCAAGTAATGATACTTCTGGAATTTTTTTCTAGTAATTAAAAATGTTTCTAATTTTTCAATAAATACAAGAAACCTTTTTAATGTTAAGAATTAAAAAACAAGAAAAAAAATTACCATAAATATTATAAATTTGTAATTAAAAAAAGTTATCCAATAAGATTTGTAAAAAATTACCTTATGATTTGTAAAAAATTACCTTAAATATTCAACTTATATCCAAAAATTTATTGTTTTGAAAGACCATTTAATGATTTGTAATAAAAAAAATTAAATGAAAAGGTCTATTTGGGAAGGGTCGAAATTGCGTGAAACACCAACTCAATCTAAAAATTGCGAGTGGTCGAATATGGTCACAAAGGTCAAATTGGTCGAATTATCCAATAAGAAAAAGTAAGAAGCCTAAGAACTTAACCGAAAAAAGAGTTGTACAAACACATTAAATCCCCAGGCACGCATACCTGGAAAAGATCAGATAATGATAATGTTCATTAAAAAACAATCCATTAAATTTTTGTTTACCGTTTGTGATGACGGTAAACTCCCACCATAAAGGTGTTGTTCCCCACCGGCCTCATCACAAGCTTGTCCCCAACACGCAAACCATTCGAATCAACAAAGTAACTCCACATTCTCTTCAGGAAACCATCACCAATACAATCAACCTTGAGTGTGCAGACCACGGGCTGCATGTTGGGTCCTATGAGAGTGACATCTATTTTTCCCTCTACAAAAGCATTTGCTTCGCAAAATTCTTCACTTAAGGGCTGAGAGAATAACGGATTAAAAGTCATTAATTGATGGAGGAAAATACACCATGTATTCCAAAAATTCATCAAGAACAAAAATTTTGTGATTGGTCGAATTTGGTCAAAAAGGTCAAATACGTCGAATTCGGTCGAATTGGGTCAAAAAGGTCAAAAAGATCAGATAATATTCATTAAAAATGATATTTTAAAAGCATACCAGCTTCTGGGATGACTCTCGAAAGTGTGATTCTTCAAACTTGCAAACAAAGACGTCATCATCATCATATGTAACATCATCTGCATCTGATAATTGTAAATCACCGCATACAATACTGTACGAATTAGAAAGAATTCGGGGAGGGCGGTTAAAATATACCATATTTCAAAGTCTTACCAGAATCATAATCAGGAATTCTTATTGGGTAGTCAACTTCTGAACCAAGGGTCGAAATCACAATGGATGTGTATGCTGTCTCTGATAATTTTTTGAACAGAATATGCCAAAGATTTTGGCATTGGTGGTCATAGAGAAAGTATCTCCATCCATTCTCGGCAGCGAATTGATGCTTGGCATCATCTCCAAGAACAACTCGGACTGGATAGCACCCAATCCGAGTATATATATCGAATCTCTCCTCCAGTGGATGATAGCGAGAAGCAATGACCTGTAAATAATGAAATCGAGTTTAAAGCCAACATGCATGTGTTAGTCATATGCATTCAAATGAAATCTTACAGTGCCGTTATAAGCATCCCTTCTGATGACCACCACGAAATCTGATTGCGGCATTTTTACTCACAGTGTTGGAGAGTGTTCGTGAAGGTATAAAGAGAGGGAGTCGCAGTCGCAGCGTTGGAAGCGGTGGAAGCGGCGGAAGCGACGAGAAAAGAAGAAGCCGAAGAAGAAGAAGAAGAAGAAGAAAAGATAAAGGTTGGAATTTATGAGAAATTTTGACTTTTCAATTCTCATCTGACATAAATGTGGCGTGGGACTCACAGAAAATTACTCCGTACAAAATTTCGTCTATTTTTGTCCAATTTTGTCTTTGTCGTATCTCTAATTTTGTACATTTTGGAGAAGTACGGAACCGTACTACATTCCCAATCCTTAGATTCTATAATGTTGACTGTAATTTGGACAAGTAGGACCATTACTCTTGCGCTGATCAATATTGTAGTAGAAAAGTACTCTTGTTGGGGGGACCTTGTTTCTAGATTTTTTATATTTTTTATTTTTAGATTTTATTTCAATATTTCTATATATTATTATTTTTTGAATTTTTTTATAATACCTTTATAATTGTTACAACTACCTCTATAATTATTCCGACTATAATTGTTACAACTACCTCTACAGTTAAACTCTTAACTAGACTGCTACATCCACTACGGTCCGAAATTAATTCTTAATACCAACAGGTAAAGACTACCCCTACAGTTAAACTCTTAACTGGACTCCTACATCCACTACGGTCCGAACCTAGTTGTTAACACCAACAGGTACGACCTTGCTACAGTTATCCTCTTAACTGGACTGCTACATCCACTACGGTCCGAACTTAGTTGTTAACACAAACAAGTAAAGACTACAAACAGGTACGACAGCTAAGTTATCCTCTTAAGTTATCCTCTTAACTGGACTGCTACATCCACTACGGTCTGAACTTAGTTGTTAACATAAACAGGTAAAGACTACAAACAGGTACGACCGCTAAGTTATCCTCTTAAGTTATCCTCTTAACTGGACTGTTACATCCACTACGGTCCGAACTTAGTTGTTAACACAAACAGGTAAAGACTACCGCTAAAGTTGTCCTCTTAACTGGACTGCTACATCCACTATGGTCCGAACTTAGTTGTTAACACAAACAGGTACGACCTTGCTACAGTTATCCTCCTAACTGGACTGCTACATCCACTACGGTCCGAACTTAGTTGTTAACACAAACAGGTAAAGACTACCACTACCGTTATCCTCTTAACTGGACAGCTACATCTACTACGGTCCGAAGTTAATTCTTAATACCAACAGGTAAAGACTACCCCTACAGTTATTCTCTTAACTGGACTCCTACAGTTATCCTCTTAAGTTATCCTCTAAACTGGACTGCTACATCCACTACTGTCCGAACTTAGTTGTTAACACAAACAGGTAAAGACTACCGCTAAAGTTGTCCTCTTAACGGGACTACTACATCCACTATGGTCCAAACCTAGTTGTTAACACCAATAGGTACGACCTTGCTACAGTTATCCTCTTAACTGGACTACTACATCCACTACGGTCCGAATCTGGGCTGTTAACACAAACAGGTAAAGACTACCGCTACAGTTATTCTCTTAACTGGACTGCTACATCCACTACGGTCGAAGTTAATTCTTAACACCAAAAGGTACGACCGTACGACCGTCCCGCCTTTTCATGAAATGGCGGACTGAAATGTCGGATTAAATTTTCCCGTCCCGCCTATTCATGAAATGGCGGACTAATTTCCCATCCCTCCTTGAAATGTCGGACTAAATTTTCCTGTCCCGCCTATTCATGAAATGGCGGGACTCTTCTAAAAATTCCCGTCTATTACCATTTTCGTCCCTTTCCGCCTTGCTCGGCCTATATAAATACGCAACTATGTTTAGGGTTTTCCCAATCTTCTATTCCTTATTGCCTGCAAAAATAAAAAAGATCATTATGTTCGATTTTACAGTAATCCTCGAGCATGATCCCAAGTTCAAAGAGCGATTGGTTTATTCATTATATTTTCTTAATTTTTTTTAAAGTTATATTTTATAACTCACAAATTCATTGGATCTGTTGTAGGCGCTACCCCGACATGTTCAATTTTTTTTCCCGGATAACACAGTTGTGACTCTCCATTCCAAACTAGCGCCACACACTTTTGAAGTAAAGGTTCAAGCATGCAGCCATGGCAATATGTTCTTCAGGGAATCATGGCCAGCGTTTGTTGAGAATCACGGCCTAAATGAGAGTCATGTCCTGTTTTTTCAACATTTTGGTGATTGTGATTTTCTCATCCATATCCTGAAATACGCATAAGGGTATTTTCATGCGTATTTGAAGTTTGATTTTATGTATTTTTTAATAAAAATTTTTTATATTAAAAATCAGATTATTGTTCTACTTTCACTTCGCACCATAATTTCCTCTCACTGCTCTTTTAATTATAAACTTCCATTAGTCATTGAAAGTAACGTAATTTATAAAACAAGAATTCTTTTTTAGGGTGTAATAATACCATTCGAATTGTGGTCAAATACTCATTGAGAAGGTCGAATGTATAAAAACTTTTATAAAAACTGAATTTATAACTCTTCGTCTACGCCAATTAAATGTAAATCGTCATACACAATTCAAACATTCCTTTGAATACGTTCCAAATGTAGTCGAAAGAATCGAAATTTTATTCTAATAATATTGAATTATGATTTTTATCCTTATTATTATTATTAACACAATAAAGACCGAAATTTAGATCTTATTTAAGAATGCCAACCGTTCACACATATCTTTATCTACCAGAATGCCAACCGTTCACACTTATCTTCATTCATGTATTTAATAACTCCGTACTAGTTAGGGTGTAAAAGTCCCTTCGTTTCCATTCAAATATCATTCAAATTCGCCCCCCCCCCTCCCTATAAATACATTGCACCCTCTCCAGATTATAAACACACTTTCTTCAATGTATTCCATATTTTACAAGCCTATTTCTTTACAATCATCAAAACTTCTCACCTCTCTTTCGTAATGGTTTTACTCAATTTTGTAAAACGGTCCTAATGGTTATCTCGATAAGGCAAAACGGTCATAATGGTTATCTCGTATACCATTATCCGTTTTATCCATTACTGCAGTAGATGCTCCACGGCACCTTCTGCATTATCTCGTGTTTTCCACAAGGAAACAACACAAAATCAACCATTCTCCACTCCACTCCACTGCACATTATTGTCGTGTTCTAGGGAAGCAACTCCATGCAATTCCATGCAATCAATCACATGATGATTGGGATTCTGGTAAAACCCATCTTTACTACTGCAACATTGATTTAAACGAAGAGTACGTAATTCGTGCTAGTAGTGTAGCAGCTTGTGTAGAGACCGAAATATTGAAGAGATAAAAAAGAAACTACTCAAATATCGATCCGAGCTAATTTCATGGAATTATTGAATTTTATGTAATTTTAGTTATTTGTCTTTACATGCAACTCCATGCAATTCCATGCAATCATGTGATCCATGTAATAAGGGTAATAAAGTCCCTTCGAAATTCATTCAAATATTAGTCGGGACAGTCGAAGTTATTCATTTTGAATATTTGTTGATCTCAACAGCCCTCTCTATTATTATTATTATCATCATTATCATTATCATCATCATCATTATTATTAATGAATGAAATTACATCTCATTTAACTTCCTGAGCTCTTAGAAATTAACGAGAGTAATAAAAGCTGATTTGACCGCTCTTTATCTACCCGAATTGAATGCAAACCGCTCACACATATCTTCTTCCATTTTAATTTTTAACTAATTACTGTGTAAAGTCCCTTCGAAATTCATTCAAATATTAGTCGGGACAGTCGAAGTTATTCATTTTGGATATTTGTTGATCTCAACGGCCCTCTCTATTATTATTATCATCATTATCATTATCATTATCATCATCATCATCATTATTACTAATGAACGAAATTACATCTCATTTAACTTCCTGAGCTCTTAGAAATTAACGAGAGTAATAAAAGCTGATTTGACCGGTCTTTATCTACCCGAATTGAATGCAAACCGCTCACACATATCTTCTTCCATTTTAATTTTTAACTAATTACTGTGTAAAATCCCTTCGAAATTCATTCAAATATTAGTCGGGACAGTCGAGGTTATTCATTTTGGATATTTGTTGGTCTCAACGGCCCTCTCTATTATTATTATCATCATTATCATCATCATCATTATTATTAATGAACGAAATTACATCTCATTTAACTTCTTGAGCTCTTAGAAATTAACGAGAGTAATAAAAGCTGATTTGACCGCTCTTTATCTACCCAAATTGAATGCAAACCGCTCACACATATCTTTTTCCATTTTAATTTTTAACTAATTACTGTGTAAAATCCCTTCGAAATTCATTCAAATATTAGTCGGGACAGTCGAGGTTATTCATTTTGGATATTTGTTGATCTCAACGGCCCTCTCTATTATTATTATCATCATTATCATTATCATCATCATCATCATTATTAATGAACGAAATTACATCTCATTTACTCAAAGATCGATCTGAGCTAATTTCATGGAATTATTGATTTTTATGTAATTTTATGTGAACAAGTTTTAGAATGTAATCCCGTAATATTAGTTACTCGTGTTTACATGCAACTCCATGCAATTCCATGCAATCATATGTATCCACCACATAATTAATAATACTGTTAATAATATATGCTATTCTATGAAATCATATGCATCCACCACAATTTTATTAATAATATATTTATCCACCACAGAATTTATTTTTTGTTTCTACAATGGTACTCCTTGCATATGTAGTAAGCAAATTCTAAACGCATGTTGGCCATCTTTTCTTTTGTCATATTCTCCAAAGATTTAAAATCCTGATGTTGTGCTCCCAACTCTAACATTTTTACCGCGAGGATGCCGCAGTCACAATCAATCTGTTGGGGTACTGGGCAGTATTCGATTTCCCAATCGGCATATCCGTGCTTGCCGATTTCTCTAATTCCAGCAATGCCTTTAAACCCTCTAAGATCATTTATCAGTAAACTAGCCATCGTCCCAATCGAAGTTATACATTTAAGGGAGTCAAGCACGACGAGGCAGCACCTCTCAAAGTCAGCCTTGATACAGAACTAATGTGAACTCGTGCCTTTCAAATAATATACGTACTTAGTGTTCTTTTTCCAGGCTTTGGTTTTAAATGCTTCCGGCCCCTCCCTGTATGTACCATCCACAATCTTTTCAAGGGATCCAGACAAAACAGGCCATTGTGGGTCATGCGCATAAGAGTTCACGTAATTGTTGAATTCAAAAGACGCAATGCATGAGTCTCCATCGTCATTGCATAAACGTCTTCTCAGGATGTAAAGGTACTCACTCAGATGCTAGTTAACAAACAAAAGTAGTATGTTATTAGAAAACGAAAGATATAAGCAGTGTTTGTGTACGAAGAATGAAAGGTTAATGCAACTTACAGTATCCGCTACCCAAAGACCTGGAGTGATAATGTCAGTCTAGAACGTTTTCAAAAATTCCTGAATCTCCTTGTACTGGGCGAGGTAGCATTGTACAGGGCGGTCATCTTTAATTGCTTTTACGATGAAGCTCTTAAATTCCAAAAGATCTGCTTTAGTTGGCGGCTTAGATAAGAGCTCATCGGCTTTCTTTTTCTTCCTCCCGTCCGCTGTATAAGGAGACTTCAAACTGGCTGACTTCTTTTTCACTCTCTAAAATAAAAAAATAAGTGAATTATTTTGGAATCTTAGACCACAATACGAAAGCACTTGAAGTTAGAAACCAAACCTTTCCATACACAATGGCATCAGTAATTTCAGCCTCTTCTCCCAATTCCTTCGGGGGAGAAACAACCTACAGTTAAATAGAGTGTAAATAAACATGCTCTAAATACTTCGAAGAACTTGACTGTATTTCGAATGCAAAGAATCCAGAATTTACCTTGTCCTACAGAGTTTTCATATAAGCAGCAGCGTCTGTTTCCATGACCTCATAGCTAGGCTCAACCTACAGAGAATTCGAATACATTTGAAAATTTCGACTATATTTCGAAGGCACTTGTATGAAGATTTATAATTTTACCATTTCCTGCAGAGGCTTCATTGAGGCAGCATCTTCTATTCCCATTGTCTCGTGGGTAGACTCAGCCTGCAGAGGTTTCATAGAAGCAGCAGCAGCGTCTGTTTCCATTACCTCATGGCAAGACTCAACCTGCGAAAAATTCGAATACATTTGAACACTATGACTATTTCGAAGGCACTTGTAGTAAGATTTATTATTTTACCATTTCCTGCAGAGGCTTCATTGAGGTAGCATCTTCTGTTCCCATTGTCTCGTGGGTAGACTCAGCCTGCAGACAAAAACAAAAAATATGAATCTATTTTCGAAAGGACAATGCATTGTAAGTTAAGATTAGAACTTTATATTTCTGTTCTCCAAACTAAGAACAGAATCAGAAAGAGTTGAAGGTTGATTCTCGTGCTCTTGTTTAATTTCCCCAACAATTTGGAGAATACCAAGTCTTGGAGAAACCTATAGAGTATGAAGTATGAAAATGATGAGAAAGAAGCATGAAATGATATTATTATTTCATTTAACATATGCAAACAAAATGAAATAACTCTATTAAACCCCAAACCTTATGGTCAGGGGAAGGATTTCGTGCCTCAGTCTCCTCACAATCACCCATGATTGTTGTCTCTGGCACCTGAACGTTAACAGATCTTACAAATTTAAAACTGAACAAAACGTTTCGACTGCATTCCTATGTATTCGACGGTATTCGACGTACCTCCTGCGGATTCTTGGTTGGTTCTTCTCCTGATTCAGTTACATTCACCTTCATATTTTTACATAAGAATAGATCATTTCTGATCAATTAAAATTATTGGATGACTTTCAAAAGCTTTCATCATACCTTATTCACAATCTTTTGATTTATTAAAGTTGACAAAGCATCAACTTTTTTTTCAAGCACTTCAAACCTCTTTCTTTGTTCTTCTGCAATGTTATAAATTTTCTTTGACATTCGATCAAAGAGTTCTTGAAAGGTATTGGATGAAGGCTTGGCGGGGTGAGGGTTAGGAGACGATGGATTTGGGATGTTGGAATGGGAGACTCTAGAAGGAGATTCCCTAAGGCTCTGACTCCTCTGAGATTCTTGGGGAGAGGAGATGTGCTCATTACGCTCTTCAGAATTATCTCTTGTTGGTGAAGGGACATTCCGGGCTTTTCTCTTCCTCTCCACCGGAATGTGGACTTCCCCTCTACACTCTAATTTTGCCACAAATGCATCCAACTCGGGGTGTTTTGTGGTCTCTAGAGGATGGAAGTTCAAATACCACTCTGCAGTTGCCTCAAACTTGTCGGGAACAAGAATG